CTTGTGGTGTAGAGGCAAGGGCAGATGTTAGGAGAACAGTCCATGTTGGATGGAGACTATGCTTAGAATAGTTAGGTAAATGAAGTCTGCCGGCGCTTGCGCAGCTGGGATGTTTATCCCTCTTGTGCTAGAATTCACGCTCTAATTATTTCCAATTATGGCTGAGTGGGATGATGAGATGCCAGAGGGGTCCCCTTTGGAGGGAGAGAGGTGGGGAGGCATGTGGGCTGCAAGACCACCATGGCATTCCTCCATGGCAGAGACGTGCCAGCAGGCACGCAGGCCGGGAACCGGACACCGCTTGCTGACTTGTTCAAATGGCAGTTGGGTAGGAAAGGACAGGATGTTCCCTTGGCCTCCAGGAGCAGGGGTCGTGGCCGCTTGGATGCAGCTTGACTCCATTGCATAACATCCGCCTCCAAGAAGAGCATAATGGGATTTGATGTCATTTCTGATAGTCTCCTGCTAACCTACTTCTTGCTCATCAGACAGTCGTGATTAGAAGTAGATTTAGCTTGGCATGGCAATAAACACTTGCTAATCCTGCAGCATGCCCCAGCCCTGATCGTCAGTGCGGGGCAGGTGATAAACAAGCACGCAGAAGGCCGCCTTAGCATCGTGGCTCTGGTTACAGCCCAGACGTCCTGGCGCTTTGGTGCCCCTTGCTCAAACATGTCTACACTTCTTCCATTCCATCTGGAAATTGAATGGAGGTTTTAGTCTGTGTGTGTGCAAAATTCTTCCGCAGGCTCTCTGGAATGGGGGCAAAAGCCTACACAAGGTTCACAGCAAGGCTCTTCCTGAACTGCTGTGGTCTTATTTCAACCCAGTGGAATGTGGTTCTTTTTCTTCACTGCAAGTGCTAAGTACTAAAAGATCCAGTCAGGTCCCGCAGCACACACATGTGCTATAAAGTGTGTGCAGGTGCTGTGTGTGTCTTTCAAATGTCTCCTAAGGGCATTGCCATTTGTAAAAAGAGAGGCAGGGATAGGGGTGAGGGAAGATACTTGATTTCAGAAAAAGGCAGAAAGATTTGAGGGCAGTGGGGGACAGCAGGAGTTGAAGCACAGGCTGAGCCAGAGAAGCCAGCTAACCCAGGTGGATCAGATGCAACCTGTACCTCTGTTTCAGCAAGTGCCCACAGTTTGGGGGCTCCAAATGAAACTGTAGGGTCCCAGCCCTAGCAGAGAGTTCCTTCGTACTGCTTCTGCTTTCTCTGCATGCTGTGCTTGAGCAAAATGAAAAATCAGGGATAAATAATCGCAGCCCCATCTCCTGGAGAAAGGCCTGTGTGTTCTCTGAAGCAGAGCAGATGCCTGGCAGCCAGAATGTCCCTGGTTCAAGCCCTGGTGGCTGCAGTGAAGGCTAGGAAAGAGCCCTGCGTGGAACAGCGGCAGTCAGCGTAGTTCTGAGCTAGCAAGGCCCACGGGTTGAAGCAGGACCTGGGAAGCTGCGTCTCTGGCGCCTGATGACGCATTCGGTCATTCAGTTCAGCACACCAGAATTCATCAGAGAAATACTTATTTTTCTTCTCTTTGACAAGCATCTAGAAGAATTAGCTGAATTGCTCCTGCACGTCATTAAAGTGCCTTGTTCTCCCCTGCAAAGAGAGCTCATGAGCCAAACCAATTCTCGGTTAATGAGCCCTGAACACAAGAAAGGGGTGGGGAAAGAAAGTGCTCAGATTTTATTAGAACTGACAACTGACCTTGGAGACTGGCTAAATAGGGTAAGGTTGACTGCATGAGGAAGCGTGATTGGACACCGGAAATGTCTCTTTCCATCCCATCTTGGCCTGGCTTTGTGTCTTTCCATTTCTTCTTTTCCAGCATGAGGCAAGCTGCCTTTTCTTCAATGGAAGGCCTTCTGCATCCGAAGGAGCCATTGTTTATCCCTGCCAGGAACAAAATTTAGTACATTTAATTTACACCTTCAGCTTGTCTCACACGCTAGAACAGAACATTTTTACACATGAGACTAAGAATACCTTGAAACCTCTCCTAAGTGATTTCTGAGGGATGAGACATGGAAGAGCATGACTCTGCATTTGTGTTCTGGCTCTGTAACTGACAGGGTAAAATTCTGTTGTCCACCAGCCAAGGAATCCATCCAGTTTGCCCAGGATGGAGGCAGTTTTGAACGAACAACAGGATTTCATATTTTCAAAACAATCTCCAGTTTTCTGCTGCTGCCACCTCCAGCTAGTTCCTTTGGTACTGCATTCACTCTATTCTCTGGCTTGTTTGGGTTAATTTGAGCATTTGTAACCCCGCTTCCTCCACATCACTGCAAGACTTCTGTATATGAAGGGTTTAACCTGCTAACCTTCTTCTCTATTCACTGTGGAAGGAAAAGTGCATCCTTTCCATGAGCGTTTCTCGTGGGCTTTGGATTTTTTGGCCCTTCTCTACGTTGTGTCAACTGAGCACAAGGTACTGCTGTAGTACAGTCATAGTATAACAGAGTTGCAACAATATACAAGGTGTTTGTTCCAGTTTGAAGTTTAATATCTCATCATCCATGCTCTTAAAAAAGCTGGGATAGGCTCCAGGCAATGATGACATCATGGAACAGTCCCACAAATTTCTGTGACTGAAGGATCACAAGCACACAGTAAATGCCTCAAGTAGCGAAGGACTGGCACAGTTGGCCTCCTGAAGGCAACATTCAGTTTGTTTTTTCCCTACATCGCCCCCTTTGGCAGCTTGCATTTTGTAATATCTTGCCTGAAAAAGAGATCTGGAGGCTTCAAAAGCTTACATATTTTTGGTGTTAGTCTAATAAAGGTATAGTCTTTGAGTTAGTCTAATAGAAGTAAAATACTGTATAAATATTGGCATTTTTCTTAGGACCAACTTGGCGGCTTTGCTGTAAAATATGTGGCTCCTTGCAAGAAAAACTGGCTTACTATAGTATGAACCTGGTTAGATAACCACTCACTTCTTGAGATGAATGATCCAAAGAAGTGGAAATCTGTGAGTCAAGATAGTGTATCAGAGAAGAGACAACAGAATTCTTATTTGCCCCAGACAGCAAAGTCTCCCAAAGCTTTGGGAGCCTCACAAGCATTTTAAACCTAAGCAATAGTTTAAATGTAATTCAGATTAATCAAAACAACCAGTTAAAGTGCATTAGCAATAGCTAATATTAGCATGCATAAAAAAATCATAGACTCATAGAATAATAGAGTTGGAAGAGGCCATGAAGGCCATCAGGTCCGACCCCCTGCTGTTGCAGGACACCAAGTTACACCATCCCACTCAGATGGCTGTCCAGTTTCTTTTTGAATGTCTCTTATGTGGGAGAGCCCACCACCTCTCTAGGCAGCTCGTATTGTGTTTAAGAGTTGAACGAAACAATCGATTTAAAGGTCTGTTTAAAGGCAGCTACAGATGAGGGCATATATACTTCTCAAGAAAATTCCACAGATGAGGGTCCATCACTGAAAAGACCCTCTTACTGGTGGCTGCCTCTCTGATGGACCTGTGGGCCTCTGAGGCTGCTCCTAAGGCCTGGGCAGATGGTCCCAAAAGATTCAGTGTTCTCGGGGTTTAAAATCTAGCAACTTAAATTGAGCTTCCAATGAAAAAAGGCACTGAAGCAACTGGCACCATAGTGATGTGATGAGGATGCTTGGCTCCTACGAGTGTTACCTGTCACTGGTTATTCTCTGTACAACTCTCAGCACTCTCCCCATGTGGCTGGGCTTGCTGTAGCTGCTTCTCTGCCTCATTCCCCACCTACCCCAGTGCCCCTCGGGGGCTCTTGGACAAATCCCAGGCTTTGTTGTGGCAACTCCCTAGTCTCTGTCCCGTGGCAAGATCTTTTCTACTGTTGGTCCAGCAGGGCTGCTGGCTCCTGAGGAAACCTCCCCCTGGCCCACATCAGCTTGCCAAACCGATGAATTTTATGAGCTGTTAGGAATACGCTCACTTGTGTGCCAGGATTTTCTCCCTTTTAATGCTCGCTGTGGCAGAAGTCCACCTCTAATATTTAACCAAGCATCTTTGTATTCACTTAGGCTGTTAGCTAGCAAACCCTTTTTTGAAAGACTCCTTCATGTTACTCTAAAGTAAATTATTATTATTATTATTATTATTAGAACACCCACTCCCAATGTCCCTCTGCCTCTCCGATATTTAGCTAAACACCCCATAGTCCCCTCTCCTGCTTGCATGCTTACAAACAGGGTTTTTTACATTACCCTAAAATAAGCACACCCATTCCTAAAGAACGAGCTTCCACTAGCAAAGCATCTTCTCCCTAGGCTCTTTCAGCTCCACTTCCCCCTTCTCGTCACTTCTCTGTTTTGCTAGCTGTCACATCTTAATGCGGGTTCCAGAGCACTGAGCCGGATCAGAAATGTGCCAGCAAAGCAGAAACATAGAAGGCAAGATGGCAGAAATGCACGGCATCTCTCTGCTGAGAAAGGATGAGGGAAGACGGTAGGGCCACAACTGAGCTCCTGAGAAGAGGCAGGGGGTTTGCACCTCTTTAGCACCTTTGAGAGCATTTACTGTAGAACAGTCTATAAAAACTAAAAATAAACAAACAGGTCCTCCTGAAATAAAGGTATATTGCATGTAGGCTCAGAAAAACAATGGCATTAGTTACTGGCTGTAGAATTCAGCAGTGTGTGAAGATCTCTCTTTCTCTCTGTGTGTGCGTGCGTGCACATGTGTGTGTAAAAACAAGTGTCCAGCCCTTACAGCTGCAAACAGATGTTTTGTATGAGAAATGCCTCCTGAGTATCGGTGCTCTGTAGAATTTTTGTAGTCCTTTCACGGGTGTTAGAATAAAGGAGAATGCATGTGGATATGTTTAATATGCACAATGTGTTGAGATCACAGAATCATTATTTTTATTATGCAGGATTTTGATTACTTAGTGGTTTGACTTTTTAGTGCAGGATATACGATTCTGGGTTATTCCATCCTTAAAAGGATTGCTGAACCAAGTACAATACTTAGCCTCTGTCTCTGTCTGTCTTCCTCCCACAGTGCTGTGCTCTGAACGGGTTAGCAGGATCACCAAGACATACCATGATATAGATGCAGTCACCAGCTTGCTGGAAGAGGTATCCTTTCAGGGTTACTTTTGCAGTTCGATTGCTCAGGCACTGTGCTAAACACTGTGGAAGATGAAGTAAAAATGACGGGCGTCAGGCAATCCGTCCTTGGGGCTTTCGGATAGCCAGTGGCCAAGAAAGATTCTACGGAGAGGGTTGTGGTTCCAAGAACAAGGGGTGGATGTTGCAGAGTCAAGAGCAAATTTAGGCTGATGGTGGCGAGTGGAGCGAGTCGGTGGAAGCAAGCAAGGCAGCTTCATCATTGGCGCTGTGTCTTTCTCTTCTCGGCAGAAGGAGCACGACCTGGAATTAGCAGCCCGCATTGGGCAATCGTTGCTGAAGCAGAACCGGAGTCTGTCTGAACGCAATGAACTCTTGGAAGAACAACTTGAACTGGCGAAGGAGGAGGTGAGGAAGCCTCTTCCTGTGCTGTAGGGAAGAAAGAAGGGTTCTGTTGGACACATGCAGTCTTTTTAGGAAAAGTTTGGACAAACATTTCACTGGATTACTTTAGGGTGGCTCACTCCTGAGATGAGAGGAGTAGCTGGATGATCCTTGAAGGTGATTTAAAGCCAGCCATTGTAGCTGTTTGCATTTCAGTCCCAGAATTCTCTAAGGACCTTGGGGCAGTTCACAGGGGCTTCTTTCCCTCCACATCTCTAATCTCACAAAAACTTTGCCTCAGAGAGCAACTGGCCCAAGTTGTTGTTGTTACTAACATTTCCATACCACCTGCAGCTGAAGCTCTCTAGGCAGTTTGCAACGATAATAGAGCCATACATTCATGTCACCCATCTAGATTGTAACCAGGCCTGACCCTGCTTAGCTTCCAAAATTAGGCAGGATCAGGTATTTCAAGCTGTACAGAAGCTATTCACCCAGGGAGCTTTGTGAGGGTTTGAATGTGGTTCTCTCTACTCCCTGTCTTACTTTCTTTGCAGTGCACCACATTACTAGGAGAGAAGTGTGCGTGTGTGTGTGTGTGTGCGCGCGCGTTATCCAAAGATGCCCGAGTTATTGCTACCATCAGTGAAAGGATGGCCTTCATGACTCAAGTGGTCAATTTCAACCCATTTTTTTAGGATTCTGTATGGCAGAACCCTGACAATATATACCTGACGATATCCACCTCATATTTAAAGCCAAATGAGACCTCGTTGGTGGCAGCCTTTGGTTTAATGAATTAATGCCCGTCTGCCATAATCACTTCTAAAACAGCGTGTGGGAGGAGAAAAGGTGTCCAACTTTTAGAGGAATCAGGACATACAGATGAAGGGGGCTGGATCCGGTGTGTGCTTGCTACTCTCCTTCCTGTAGCTTATCTTCCCCACTACTCTTGTATTTTTCACAATGAAATGAGATCACTGTCCCTAGAATGTGGAGAGATGTCATGGGCAGGGCTGAGTTGGGAGAAGAGGCTGAAGGTTCAGCATACAGTATAGTAGCAGGGGCTCTGAGTACGTGCAGAGTGTCTTTTTCTCTACCATTGAGTAGCTGCAGACGACTCCTGCTAGATCTGGAGTCAAACAGCAGAGTTGCTAAGGTAAGAATATATGGTGTCCGGTCACAGGCTGAAGTGCTGCAGTCGTCTTTTCATGGCACTCTCTTCTCTTCTGCCCCAAGATAGCTCAACTGCGGCACGAGATATCAATGCGGGATGACCTTCTGCACCTGTACACCAACAGCACCGAGGAGAGTGAGCCGGCCTCTGCCATCCCCACCCCGTGAGTATCTTTCTGCACTCGTCACTCCTCTGGGATGGTTGATCACCTCCCTTAAAGGTTGGGATGGTTGATCACCTCCTCCAAAGTCCCTTAAAGGGTGGGAGTGGACTGCCCACCCTCCCCCAGCGCCAGCTCTCGCGCAGTGGTGGGAAGGGGAGAAGCTGACCTCTGGACCACCAGACCCTCAGCCAGGATGCGGACAAACCCCGCAGTTGAGTGGGTGCATGAGAATATTCAGAGCAGGAGGTGAAAGCGTGCCCCGTATTTTGAGGTCTGCATTGCTGCACTTCTTCATATCTCTTGTTACTTATGGGGCTTAGGTGGAGGCCGTCCTAAATTCAGCCAGGCACAGTTGCTTCTTGTGGAAGCGAGATTAGAACTGAACCAGGAGGCTGAGAAAAGATGGCGTACCTTTTCTCTGTTTGCTTGGCTCCTGTAGCCACTCCATTTCACTTGTTGTTTCCATGCTGATAATTCCTGTTTGTGCATTAACAGCATCAAATGGGAAGGTGCAGTGGCCTTTCAATTCCTGCCCCTACGCAAATGTGTGTAGGCATAAAAAGGAAAGAAAAATGGCTGCATGTGTTGGCTAAAGGAAACAGCTGTGTCTGCCAGCAGTTTTGAGGTTTCTCATTGATAGTGGGGCCCCTGCTGGTGCATGGATTCCAACCATGTTACCCACAAAGGTTGGTCCTGCCTGCCCTTCTCTGGGGTGATCCGGACCATTACCCCATGTCACTCCCCAGGCAGCCTTGTGTATGAGGCGGGCTGTAACGCAAAGAGGCGGCATGCCCAAGGCTACCAGTGAGCTTCATGGTGGAACAGGGATTTGAACTTGGGTGGGACTGGTCCAAATTCAGTGCTCAAGCTGCAGCACCGCTCGCTTCCACTGAACGTCTGTGTTAAATTCCAGGGTGCAAAGCACTTGGCCATATGGTGTGAAAGAGTCCCTTCAAACATGTGCAGAGTGCCTTCTTGCACTCCCCCCCAGATTAGAGATCCCTCCAGCTTTACTCCACAATGAAATGGGATGGCTTCCAGGCAGAAACTTAATCTGTTGCTCTAAGAACGAAGCACCCATTCAAGAGACCGAACAGTCCCATGTAGCTATGCTCTCTTCCTCACGGCCTCACCTCTTCCCCGACAGGTTGCGAAGGAATGAATCTGCCCTCTCTTTGCAGCAGTGTTTCCAGTATGATGCCCTTCAGCAAAAGCTAAAAGCGCTGGAGGAGGAGAACCAGAAACTGCGCACAGAGGTGAGGACTGAGTGCCACTGTGCTGCATGCATGTATGGTGGTTATGAGGGTCGTGAGGGTCCCTGGCTGGCGGGCTTGGCCTTTGGGGGCTTTGGAGAGCCGGTGTGCTGGTGTCGTTAGAATGGTGGGCTGGGCCTCAGGAGATCTGGCTTCTAGTCCCTCTCGGCCACAGGAGCTTGCTGGGTGGCCTTGGGCTCTCAGCCGTAACCTTCTCACAGTGTTATTTGTGAGAACAAGATGGAGCGGAGGGAGCTGATTGCACTCGGGCAGTTGTGGCAATTAGGCTAAGGGCTCTGTGTGGCCCTGGGCTAGAGGTTGCCCAGCTTGGGTCTGTTGTTAAGTCCTAAAGTCATGCCCAACCCATCATGACCCCCATGGACAACACTCCTCCAGGCCTTCCTGTCCTCCACCATCCTTTGGAGTCCACCCAAGCTCATACAAACTGCTTCAATGACTCCATCTAGCCACCTCATCCTCTGCCGCCCCCTTCTTCTTTTGCCATCTATTGTTCCCAGCATCAGGATCTTCTCCAATGAGTCCTTCCTTCTCATTAGTGGCCAAAGTATTTGAGCTTTATCTTCAGTATCTGGCCCTCTAAAGGACAGTCAGGGTTGATCTCCTCTAGGACTGACCGGTTTGATCGCCTTGCGGTCCAAGGGACTCGCAGGAGTCTCCTCCAGCACCACAATTCAAAGGTCTCAATTCTTCGGCGCTCAGCCTTCCTTATGGTCCAGCTTTCACAGCCATACATTGCAACTGGGACAACCATAGCCTTGACTATATGCACTTTGGTCAGCAAGGGTCTAGATGGCTGCATTTAGTTCAGTGTGCCTGGATCAGTTTCTCAGTTGCTGCTCGTTTGGATTTACACTCCCATCCCCAACCACCTGTGGTGTCTATTTACTGTTCATTCAGGGTTTAATTAAGTTTGCTCAAAGGAATTGTAAGCACATGTCACAGCCCGTCTGCCTGTGCGTAGTGGCTGATGGGGACTGGGGCAAGCAGCTGCTGTGACACCCCTGTGGTGTCCCATGGGCAGCTCGCAGAATCACGGACTCGATGGACCCTTGTTCTGATTCACCACAGCAGCTCTTAGCTTCTTGGAAGGGCACGTCGTTCTTGGAAGTTGCAAGAGATGGTGACATTCGACCCTCCTGTGCTGGCTGCCTTTGGGGTCTGGATCAAATGTGGCAGTGAAGCAGATATCATCATCGCATCGCATTGCATATCTGTCCCACCATTTTCCTCCTATGAGGAAGCTGAGGCAGCTTACGTAGCTGCCTTTTCATCCTCGCAACAGCAGCCCATTGAGGGAGGTTAGGCTGAGAGTGAGGAACTGGCCCAAAGTCTTCCGGTGAGCTCCATGGCTGAGCGGGGACTGGAGCCCGAGTCTCCCGGGTCCCCAGTGCGGCGCTTCAACTGCCACAGCACGCTGGCTGCCAAACGTTGGAGGGGTTGTCCTGCTGCTCCGTGGCATGACTTCAAAGTGAAGGCCCATCGTGTGGATTGGCTTGTGTGGGCAGTGCCTCAAGACTGCAGGGCTGCCTCCAAGCTCTGGAGCACGGCAGCATGTTCATGTTCATTTGTTTTTCCGCCGCAGGTTACAAGCATTACCACGGAAATGTGTCACTATGAGGAGCAGGAGCAGAAGCTGATGATTGACTGTGTGGAACAGTTTTGTAGGTTCCAGTTTTGGTTTTATATACCTCTGGGGGGCACCAGGTTGAGGAGGGCTGATGTAGACAGATCCAGAACACAGGAGAAGGAGCATTTTTTCCATGTTATAACCAGCTTCTGTCTCACTTCTGATGAGCATATACATGAGCGTGTACATGATACATGAGCATATACACACCCCAAACTGCCTTTCTAATCCCAACCTTGACTCTAATCCTATCCTGCATGAGAAGATAGTAGCCATATTCTTCCAAGAACATTTCTAAGAATATGGGATTGCAGATATATGATGGAGATAACCTTAGAATGCACTGTGAAATGAATTAAATTTACAAATGCACCTGAAAGTTGGGGATGCTTGAAGAAATAAAGCAGCATTTTTGTGTAGGAGCATAGAGGATAGAACCAGAAGATGGGTTGTGCCCATTGCCTTTGGCTACAGTTTGCTTATGCAGAGCACACAGGTGCACACCATAGGCATGGCTGAGAAATTAACTCGATCAATTTTTTTGTTTTGGTTTTCCAAAATTCCCCAATTCATACTTCCTGACCTTTTGATGAGCTAAGGCAGTCATCTTCCAAAATCTGCATTTTTGTGAGCTTCCTGATGTAGTTTCCCTCGGAAAGGATGTGGTAGAACAAATGTACACATTAAGGGAAAACGCATGCAAAATGCACATAAAGAAGAAATGTGCACACAAGCCAGCATTCTAGCAATGTATAGTGTTTGGAAAGAATGTATAGGTTTTAAAGTACGCATGCAGCCAAACACACACTCAAAGCAGTACACATATTTGTCCAGATCATTTTTTAAAATGCAAGAAGTAATGGAATAAGCTTGGCCTCAAATATACTGACAATCTGGAGGAGTCGGAGATGGAGAGCTCTGTCTGTCCCTGTTGTCCGGTGTATCGCATGCAGCCGTATACTGCAGGGGGTAACCGTGTGGCAACTCCCTCCCACAGCCGATGCAAGCCGGGAGGTGGTCTCGCTCTCCGAGGAGCTCGCCCGCAAGGTGGATGATTCAGCCCGGCAACAGGAAGAAATCAGCCAGCTCCTCGCGCAAATTGTGGACCTCCAGCAGAAGTGCCGCACGGTAAGCAAAGGGCTGGTGGTGGAATTCGTCGTCAGGGCCCCGGCGTTGAGGATGTGGGTGGAGACGGGTGCTGCCTGTGGCCCCCCGTTCTTGCAGCTTGTTCAAGGAGCTGCCCCTGCTGTTCACAGGGACACGGGTCACCGTTTAGCACCGTCACAACAAAAGAAGGGCTGCCGCTGCCCCACGGGAGAGACATCCGCCTTGGGCTGTGCGCTTCAGGCACCCCAAAGAAGGCTGGAAATGGTTCATTTCAAAACCAGGCAACCCCAGGAATGTGTCATTTGGTTTTTCTACCTCGCTTTCTAAAAAAGAAAAAAAAAGAATACTAAGAGGAATAGCCAAACTGCTCATTTATATCCCAAGCGCTCTGAAAAAGATCCCAAACAAGGCAGAATTGGCATAGCAGAAAGCCCTGGAGACACTCCTGATAATGTTTGTTTGTTTAATTCCATTTCTATGCCGCCCCATAACCTGAAGGTTCTCTAGGTGCTTACAATACTAGAACACAAAACATCCATAAATTACAATAAAACAAGTATTAACCAGATAAAAGATAAAACAATAAAATAGTAGAACACCTCCGGTAAAATATACTCACACACACCAGCAACACAACCAACAAATTAACCAAAATTAGATTAAAAATCCATAAAATGTAGAAGTATTAAATAAATGTAAATTGATGTTACCTTTACTTTCCCCTCCAGTATGGCTTGGAAGTGGAGGAGCTGCAGCAGCATCTCAACGCAGCCAAGCAGGGGCAGCAGCAACTGCGGACAGAGGTATGTACCTTGAACAGCTGGTGGGAGATGGTGGCTGGCAGGGTTGGGTTGCATCTCCCCAGCAGGGAAAGGAGGGCAGAGAACTCTGGAGTGTCCTTACATGACCCCTGTGGATTCGGCAGCAGCCTTTCCTGGCCATTATCCACCTCCATATCTCGGTCACTGTAGCTTGGTGAGGGCACTGAGCCTTCTCTGGTGGAGGTGCCAAGCCTTGCCGCACAGAGCCACTGTTCCCAGAATCCTCTGGGGAAGGGTCTGATGCTTGGAGCCATCAATTCATAGCACTGATGTGTGCCTTGAAGCTAAAGTGCCCAGAAATTGTCTCTGTTATGGCTCCAGATGAGTCAGGTCAGTCTAAATGTCTAGATCAGTCTTCCCTGACCTGATACTTTCCAGATATGTTGGACTATAATTTCCTGCATTCCCCAGGCAGCCACGTATTCCGAATTTTAACCCATTTCAAAGCCAACCTGTCCCATGGGGAGCCCCTTGATTTTAGTCCGTCGTCTTCTCTTAATTCCTTGCCTTGGCTCTGTTAGATAGCGTGTGTCTGACTTTTCTTCCCCAGCTGCAAGACCTGCAGGAGAAATATGCAGAGTGCGGCGCAATGTTGCAGGAAGCCCAAGAGGAGATTAAAAACCTCCGAAACCGCAGCCTCCCCAACAGCACCATCCATCGCCACAGTTCTCCCACTTTCTTGCCCCTGGTAAGGGCAAAGCATCTTCGGAGGCAACTGGGCCGGGGTGAATACGCGCAATCCTGCACTGGTTTGTGCAAGAGGATATTTGTGTGTGTGTCCGTGCTTGGAGGGGTTCTATTGTCCTGCATCCCCCTTCACTGGGGGAGAGCGGACAGACAGCTTCCTTAATGTCCCTGTCCCTGCCCTGACACCGAATGCAAAATCTCATTTCAAGTTGCTAGTCCTTAAACGGAAGGAGGGAAAAGCTGGAAAAAGGGGCTTGCTTCAGTATGCAATTGGTGCTAGGGCATATCCAAGGGCTGAAATATGGGAGTTTGTTTCTCTGTCCCATGTGTGTAGGCGCTAGTAATAGTGTCTCAGAGCATGTGTAGAGTGGCCATTAAGTAACCACAACCTATCAGCCTGTCCCCTGCCTCCCCCAAGCTGAAATTCCAGGTGGGTCTAGAAATCAGTCACTGGTACTGAATATGCTGCTTCCGGTGGGGAAGTCACTGTTCTGTCCCCATCCTCACTTGAGAGATTTTATTTATTTATTTATTTATTTATTTATTTTTCGATTTATATCCTGCCTTTTTCCTACAAAGGGCTCAAGGCAGCTTACATCTCCTCCTCCATCTTATCCCCACAACAACATCCCTGTGAGGTAGGTTGGGCTGAGAATCTATGACTGGCCCAAAGCCACCCAGTTGGCTCCATGGCTGAGCGGGGACTAGAACCCAAATCGTCTGAGTCCCAGTCCCACGCTCTTAACCACTACACCACACTGGCAAGGCTTTGCAATGATTTTTTGGGAAGATTGGGAAAAGGAGGCGGAGAGATGACCATGCATTCCTGGTTCCCTTGCCTTTATTTGCTGATGGAAAATACCTGTCCATGTTTCTTACAGGATTCTCTGGCTGCAGAGATCAAAGGCACCATGAGGAAGGGGACGAACAGCTCTGCTTCTTCCGAGTACAAGTGAGTGGAGCGCAGGGTGGCGGGGCGGAGGGGTCGGACCTGAGACATCAGGAGAAAAATGGGCGAGAGTAAGAAGCTGCCAAAGGACCGTGTTGATGGAGGCACGCCCGTCCCTGGGGCAAGAAATAAACCGAGAAAGAAAGCTCAGAATCAAGTGAATCTGCGGTGGCGCCCCGATTGTGGAATTTGCTCCCCAGAGAGGCTCTCCTGCCGCCATCACTTTATTCTCTTCGGCGCCAGGCTAAAACTTTTTTTATCTTCCCAATGTTTTAAGATTTGATTGTTTTAATAGGGCTTTTATTGCTGTTTGGAAATTTTATTAGGACACTGCATTTTATTTTATATTGTCTTACTGTTAAACCATCCCAAGACCAAAGTAAGGGGCAGTCTAGAAAAGTTTTAAATAAATAAATTTGGAGGTGGGCTGAGGGCAATGCTGAGTGGGAAGATACTGTCATCTCGAGATGCAGGGGAATGGGCTTCAAGACTGAGGGGAATGGGCTTCAAGACTGGGGGTGCAGCTTCAATTTTTGGAGGGCTTATGAACTGTACATAGTGGGGGCTTAAATTCAGGGCAACTCTGCCTCATTGGGCAGGTAGTATTTGCTTTGATGATGGGCGGATCATTTTCCCTCTCTCTCTCTGCCAGCGCTCTATTTGCTGCCACTAAAACCAGCTTCCATTTTGCTTGTCTTCAGAGGCTACCGGAGGATCTTTGAAACAGTGAAGGCTGTCAAGCAGGCGGCAAAAGCCAAGTCGTGGGCAGAATCGCCACTGACCCTCCCTCCCGGCTCTCCCAAGCCTTCCTCGCTGGGCTGCAGCCGCATCAGCACCCCCCACAGCAGCTACTACGGTTCAGACAGCCCCCCTGCGGGAGCACTGGAGGTGCAGGATGGCCAGGCCACCGAAGGGCTGGATGATGCCCGGTGAGTACCTCCAGGATACGGTGTGTGAGGCCCATGGGTGGCCTGGGCTTGCCTGTAAGATGGTGTTTGCCAACTGCAGTTCCTAAGACCCCCCTGAAATTCCTGGAGGGGGACATCTGGTGGGCACCAGATGAGGGAAGTCTGCCTTCCAGCCTGAGGTGGAGCTATAGAAATAGGAACAGCTTTGGGGCCTCATGATTCATGGATCTTTTTGTTCTGCTGGGCCTTTTGTGAAAAAAGGGAAGGGTCCCTCGTGTCCTGAAATAGCAGAAGGTTGGACCCAATGGCCTTAAGGCCCCTTCCAACGTTGCTATTTTCTGATTTGAAATCCATAACCTTGCCTCCCCACCCTGTACTTAGGAGGCTCTGAGGAGATCTTTGGGGCTGTGAAGCCCATAAAACCAGTTAACTAAAAATGGAGGGGGGAAATCTCCCCATAATATAAGGCTATTTCTCTGGGGAGGCCAAAGAGGGACATTTCAGCCTGAGCCAGCTCCACGACAACAGCTGCTTTCCTATTATAGGAGGAGACACAGTTTTCCTGGCAAAACCTGTTCACTGGGTCCTTCTTGTGCCCTTCCTTCTGAGCTGCCAGAACATTTGAAAACCAAATTGTGTGCTTGACTTTGAGCTGTCAGGCAGAACTGACCTGTCAGCCTCCTGACCTGCCTTCCTCCTGGGACTCTTTTATGACCCAGGCAGCTTCTGCCTCCACTGCAGTATTTCTGAATACCGGCCTCAGTGTGACGGCTTGGAAGACAGCTCCTACTCTTGCTGGAACGAAGCTAGAATACACAGCATCGTGCGTGCTCGTTGCTTGGCACCCTCCTCTTCCACCTCCTCCCCCCCTCCCCAAAATCAGACTTCAGACTGCCAGCTCCTTAGGCCAGGGACCCATTTGTAAAGTGCTCTATGCGCTGAGCGGGGGACTGTGTGACTCACGCAATATCTGCTTTGGTTTATGTAGCCAGGGTGAGCCTGGTACATCGGGCATCCCAGGCCAGCATGACTTGGAAGCTGCCCTCCAGTGCTTGTCTGCTCGCCAGGAGAACCACAGCACTGAGCGATCGTTCTTTGAGGTGGAGCGTGAGCGCAAGCTGAGGCACCTGGCTCGGGATGCCGAGGACTCCAGCGGGTTCCTCACCCCCAACGAGAGCATCACGTCTACTGGCACCAACTATTCCGGCAGCTCTGGAGGGTCCGGCTTTTCTCTGAGCTCTTTCTCCTACTTCCCTGATAAGCTTCAAATCATCAAGCCTCTGGAAGGTTAGTGGGAGAAGGGAGCCAGGAAGCAAGGGCTCGATCAGGGAGGCATGCAGTCTCTCAGATACTCGCAGCATTGACTCTGAGGTGCCATGCAATTTAGATTGCATGAGCACGGAAATGAAAAGCTAATGATTTTTGTAAATGCGCTTCAGTTAGAAAAAGAGGAGGGTGGGGGAGGAAGGAAAAATCCAGTTCTTAACAGGATCCCTGTGATCCCCAACAGACTCTGGAAAGGGGTGGGGAAACTAACTGGTTGGAAGAAGACCCTATGTGCTTGGATCAGCATGAGAAAAAAATACTGTGTCTCCAGTTTTAATAGCGGGGAGAGAACTTGTACATTTGGTATCAAAAGTTGGAGAAACGCTGGCACCAGATCAGGTTAACCGTCCTCCCTGTGCTCCGTGTCTGTGGGCTGGAGGCAAAACTTGCCCCATGTGCGGGGAGACTGCAGTGTGCAGAGGTTGTGCACTTGATCTTGTACCCTGGACTAGATTTCTCTAAATCCAAATATTCGCGCTCATCAGTGCTGAATATAGGCCATGCACTGGCTGAAGCACGGCTGTTGGATGCTCTTAGGAGGGAAAGTGCACCTCTGGCCAGTTTGCACACCTGCTGTTCTGCTCGTTCAGCATAAAACCTGCGGAGGAAAGCCATGCAGACTTCTTCCCTTCTTTCAAATCAGGTATTCATGCCTCTAGCCCAGTACTGGCTGCTCCAGCCTTCTCCAACCTGGTGTCCTCCGAACCAACTGGAATACAGCTCCCAGCATGTGCAGCCTGCCATGGCTAAGGAATATTGGAAGTTGTTTCCAGCACATCTGGAGGCTGCCTGGTCAGGGAGGGGGAAGCTGGTCCACCCTGTCTGGCAATATCTTTACTGGAGCTCAGGCAGCAAGAGGGGTCTTTCCTCTCACATGCTAACAGAGCCCGTTCACTGGAGAGAGCTCATTTTTCCCTCCCTGCAGAGGCTGGCCTGCACCTGCACATGGGCAGTGGCCCATCCAGCCCAGGACCTGCGGCATAGAAGTGGTGGATGCACGCGCTTGTGGCAGCTTCATTTTTCAGTGCCTCTCCTCTTGCAGCAGGCTAATGCATTGCCGCCCGGTTGGCAATTCTTAGTCTGCGTCTGCTCCAGGCCCCAAAGTCTGGTCTTGCTGCAGTTTGGCACCCCTATTTTTACTAAACCGCTTTAAGCATTTTTTCCATGCGGAACAAGCAACACCCGTGGCTTTTCTCCCTCTCAGGCTCCATGACCCTCCACCACTGGCAGCAGCTTGCCCAGCCTCACTTGGCAGGGATCTTGGACCCTCGGCCTGGCGTGCTCACCAAAGATTTCCGGCAGCTTGACACGGACCTGGAGGAGGTCTACAACCTTAATGACCTAGAGGAAGATGAAGTGGATGTGACCTCGTTCCCTGCCCTCTCTACCTCAACGCCATCCAAAGCCAAGGGTGGCCCTAGTGGTGAGTGGGGGAAGGCCCATGCTTCACACAATACTAAATGCAAGGGCCGGGCTGAACCCTGGCAGAATCCATCCCTCCAGAATCCACAGGCTTCCTCTCGTGCTCAGCCCCCTCCTGCAAAGCGGGAGCCGAAAGGAAGTCTGTGAATGCTCACGGACCCCTGGTTGTGCCACCCAACACCTTCTCCAGCCGCCATTCCCAGCAGCCAGTCTTTCCCCCTGCTTGCTGTTGCAGCAGTGGCAGGCACGGAAATCCGGCTCAGTTCCTAGCAAGTGCCCTGGGACCCTTGGGCCTGCTTGCCAGAAAAGCGGGCCAGAGTCCAGGAAGCCAGAACCAGGGAATCCAGCAGATTTTCTGCCCGAAACAGATTCCTCGCATATCCCTCCCTGACACCAGTGAGCGTGGCAGTCCTGGACTGTACGAAGAACCAAGCTTCTGTCACCAGACTCCCAATGGTTTGGAAGCATGCAAGTTCACTTCCTCGAGCCCCACACAATTTTCCCTTGAAGTCGGATGGCAGCCACTTTGTGGAGCAATTCCAGATGGAGCTTGCCTGTCCTAGTGAGGGGCAGGTCGGAGGGACAGGGCCACTCGCTAGCTGGCAGCTGCGGTGTGTGATTGTTACTTGCCCTGCCTCCACTGGGAATGGCAACAGTGAGAGGAAGGATCGCTTTAGCGCCCTGAGTTCTGCAAATGGGATAAGTGGAAATGAAACATAGTGTTTTTGGTGAGATACTTCTTACCGTTGGCAATACTGCCATAGTCCCCAGCTTTCTTGCAATGTATGAAGTAGTTCCTCATCCATGAGGTTATGTTCCTAGATTAAGATTAAACCTTTTTCCTTACCAAATAAGATTCATAAGCCATGAATTCTGGACTCCCAGGAGTATTCTTTCAAATTTGAGCATGTTAGCAAATAGTGGGGCGAGTAGGGTAGGAACAGAATTCAGGAAGGAATAGAAGTAACCTGTTCAAGGCTATTCTTTTCCTTTTTTAATACCTTGTAACTGTAGTGGGAGTATGAACAAGCAGGTCTCTTTAGCTGTGCTGGCTGATGGCTTTTGACTCAGACTTGCCCTCCACGAGTGTTTCTAACCGAGCTGTCCCAAACCTGGCACTCTCCAAATCTCTTGAGGCACAACTTCCACCATTCCTGACCTGCTGGTCAGGTCTCCCTGATGGGAGGTGAACTTCAAGACATCTGAAGGGTACCAGGTTGAGGAAGACTAATGCAAGCAATAATTTAGAATTGGTAGCCATTGCTGCAGCTTTTCTGAAAGGGAGTGGCCTCCATTAGAGCCATGAGATGGAAGTGCATGAGATGAGTTTCAGGAGAGGCACAACCTTGGTTTGGTTCTCAGGACTGCCATGCAGGGCTGGGCAACCCAGCCCCTTCCAGATAGTGCTGGACTACAGCTCTCATCATCCCTGACCCCGTGGTTCTGTTGTCTGGGACTAATGAGAATTGCAGTTCGAGACTGCGTGTGCTTACCCCTGTGTGCAGGAATCAGCTAGCAATACTGCCATAAAACACAGTCATGGGTTGAGCATCTCTGGACGTGTGGCAGGGACCCTTCTGGCAGTTGCTTTCTAGCACTAAGCTTGTTCTGCAGATCAGCTCAAAAGAAATGGAAGGGCTTGGGTGGGATGAGGAGCACTTATTCCCTTACTTGCGTTTACAAACCCTTTTCCTCCCCGCTTCCCCGTTAGATATCCAGGCACATGTCTCTGTCCATCCACATGTTTTCCCGACCCACTCATTAACCCTTCATTTTCCTGTCCGTTTCAGTCTTCCACTCCGTTAACAATCTGCCCCAGACCCCGCCTACTTTCACCATCACCACCTGTTGCATCTTGCACCCTAGCAATGAGGTCACCATGGTGACACCCAGGTAAGCATCCTGTGGTCCTTTCCTCTAGTTTTCCGCCCTGGCTTCCGCTCCCCCATCATCGCTGTAAGAGGATTTCCCTGTTTGTGTGTGGTGCTGTTTTTAAGCGATCTCCTTGCATCCCCCGCCCCCACATTCCATTTTGGGTTCTGACTTCTAGGTACTGCTGCTGCTATGGGCATCTCCTGCAACCCCAGGTGCATTGATGGGGTCTCTGAAGTAAGAAACGCCTTCCTTGCCTTTCTTCTCTCTCTTCTGCTTGGGGATAGCTGGGCAGAGAACAGGCTCCTGAGCAATGCTGACCTGAAAAAAGGGGCTGCCACACTGAGTGATGACCACATGGAAGAGCAGGGCCTGAGCCAGGAAACCCAAATTTCAGGAACCCCAAGGCTGCCAGAGTGATCTCACAGGAAAAACGTTCTGGGACTTGAGCCTGTTGTGGAGCTTCGGGCTGTCAGACAAAGAGGCTATCCTGAAATCCACAGTGGTGAAGGGCTCTTTCTTCTTGGTGAAGGAAAAATACTCCTTGCATGCTCAAAGGCACTCTTGCTTCATGCCTTTGCAGCTGCACTTGAGTCCTGGGTTTTGGTCTGGTCCACATGAAGCCCTCAGTGAGAGAGGTTGAATGAGCTGTCCCCTGCCCTGATTAGCAAGCAGCAAGACACTTTCCTTTGCTTTTTTGTAGTGCTCACTCAGTTTTTAAAATGTTTGACTGATGCCCTGCCCTAAGGGTTCCTTGTTGTAAACTGTCCTGAGGCACCAGAAATAAAAAATAAAATTCCTGGTGGCCAGGGGTGATTTTTGGCAAAGTGGTTGGGTTCCTTCCCTGTCTCCTAGAGGATTCATAACATCAGAATAAAAGACAGCAGGAGGAAGAGAAAAGGCTTAGAGATATTGTCCTTAAGAGGAAAATATTGCCTACCAGTTATTGCCCATGGCCTCAAACACACTTCATTCATAAACTGGCACATTGGCCAAAAGAACAGGAGAAAGGACTGCCATCATCTCCTCTCTCCAGCCTTAATTTTAATTTAAAAATTAAGAAATCATGGTACAGTTGTATTTTTAATTTTATTTTTTAAATGTCAGAAACAGAGCTGTGCTTCAAGGTAGAGGAAAAGCTTTAGTTTTTTGATTATTTTGTACTGACTTGTAATTCCCCTCCCCACACCAGACAGACAAACAACCAAAAACCCAGGCCCTCCCAGTGCACTTGTGGGCCTTGGTGGTGGGAATAGGCAGCTGTATCCAGTTCTCTTGAGTTTAACCCACTAAGCTTTTCTCAAGCCAGGCTTTACTGCTAACCCATCTGCTTTCCTGCAGCTTAACAGGCACTAACATCATGGCGTCGGCTTTGGGTGCTGTCTTGCGGGGCGGGTGCAATGCCTCCCGCCTGGTGGTGCTGGGTGGGAAGGGAGGAATGGGCAGCCAGCCATCCTGATAAGCCAACAGCAGTTTTATTGCCAGGGCAGCTTTTGCCTAGAGCTGATTTCTCCAATTGGGTGTCCTCCAGATACACATGAGTACAACTCTCATCATCCCCAGCCGGGGCAGCAACTGATCTGGTCTGAGCTAGAAAAATGTGCTCAATTGGTGGCAGGATGTGTGCAGGAGAAGCAGCAATGGGGGCTGCGTTGTCTCCAGGCCAACCTATCTCTGCCTCCCCGGCCCCTCCTCCACTTTTTCGTTCACTGCCAGGACAACAGCCATGCATTCTGCAAGTCCCATCCTGATCCCAGTCAGTGGCAAGCAATTCAAGGATTCGGAAGCAGGAGACAGTGTGATCTATTGCCGTCGGAGGCCAGGCCAACACAGTGGCCGGCCTGGGGAGAACAGTCCACTCCACTAGCCATGTCCCCCTAGTGTCCATGGGGCCTAGTCCCCCACGCCAGCAAGGAGGTGCAGCTACACCGCGGCCTTATTGGCACTCCTGGCACGACATGGATTCTCTTGCCATGCTAGCTGCAGGTACAAATAACGGAGGGCAGTCTTCCCTGACCTGTGCCTTCTACATGTTTTCTAGAACTCCCAGCATTCCTGAGCATTTTCTAGAACTCCCAGCATTCCTAAGCGTGCTGAGTGGGACTGAGAGGGATGGGTGTCCAGAAATCCCTCCCTCTCTTAATGTGCAAAGTTCATCTGGTCAAGTGCTAGTGAAATTATTGTCCGGGTGAATTGGACCTTAGTGGGTTGCATCGGTCTGCCTCCAACCCTGCCAGCTGTAGCCCCCATCCCATTCTGTGCAATGACTCGAATCTCCTAGTTCATGTCCTGGACTGTCAACCTATTCATACGTACTCCAACGGACTTATCCTTTGAGGACATTGTCACAGAGAGCCTAAAATAGCTCCAAATTTCATCCACCTGCCATTTACAGTTTTGTTTGGTTTTATAAATGAAAACATGCCCAAGGCACAAAAGTATCTCAGAATAGAAATATTAGCTTGGGGTACTTACATACCCCAGATGATAGGCCCCAAACAAAGGAACTAAAGAAGGTTCAAGATCATCTTGGTCATCTGTTAAAGCTAAAACTTCCAGCAAATAGAATTAAAATCTACTGAAGGAAAGCTTCAATTTATTTGATTTATATCCTGCCATTTTTCGTTTCTAAAAACCCACTGTGACTTATCATTCTTCTGCTGCTCTCAATATTATCTCCACAACAACCACCCTGTGAGGTAGGTTGGGCTGAGAGGTCCCAAGTCATCCAGTTGGCTCCGTGGTTGAGTGGGGACTAGAACCCAGATCGCCTGAGTCCCAGTCCTGCGCTCTTAACCACTACACCACACTGGGAAGGCTTTGCAATGATTTCTTAAAAATTAGTAGGCCAAACTATGGCCTACTAAAAGGTCAGTAGGTCACTGTTATGCAGATTTTATTGTTTTGCATAGCCTCAGGAAGGGCTGAATCCTGAATTATGTGTACTTTCTGAGAGCTGAAAGCCAGTTTTACATTGAGTGCAACCTCCTGGTGGAACAATTCAGCCAGAGCAAAGGCTCCTCAGATGCAGCAGTGTTCTTGCCTGAGGTGCCTTCAGCTGGGGTTCAGGAATGACCCTAATTGGGATTAATGCTAGTTTTTTTCCTGAGGCAGGAAGGCAAAGCCTGGGACACATTAAGTCAAGGTGGGGCTGCCTCTGTTGGGTCCCCAGTGATCCAGTAGCATGTGCCTTTGTACTCCTGTGTGCAGCAAGGGCTACTCCAGAGTAAACCAAAAGATGGTTCCTAGATGGACAACCACTTGTGAGTAGAAGGGGCAATGCCAGCCAGCAGGCAGTCCACATGTTCAGGGTTCCCCCATGGATCTTCCAGTGAGCCACCGTGACTGCCCAGACGGCACACTAGAATGTGCTGTTGCACACATTTGTGAAAACACAGCGGGAACACTGCTTGCGGGGCTGTGTGCAGTTCAGCACCAAACACAAATGCTGCAGCGCCTCCTGTAGTATCTCTTGGAACTGACGTTTTTCACCCTTGTCTTCTGTCCTCGTGTCCGCCCCTTCCTCCTCCTCAGTCTTTATAATACAGTTGTGCCCTCTTGTGGGCCCTGTGCGGGGCTGAGCCCCCAGCCCCCTCCCCCGTGTCCCCTGCAGGAGCAGCCCAGCCGTCCAGAGGCCGAGCAGCCAGAGCGGTGCGCATCTCCCCGGGGACTGGTTTCTCTGCTGACCGAGCGAGGCATTTCGGCATGGAGCGGAGCAGGCGCAGCGGCGAGGGCAGCGGCTCTGACTCGGTATGCCGGGGGCTCGGGCAGCCTGTTTGGGCTGTCTCCGTCCCTGGCTTTGCTGTGGTGCTACCGCCGGGATGCCCCAGCTGAGTGGGCCTTGGGATCTTGCCCACCGCAGCGGAGGAAATCTGAGGAGGGGCAAAAGAGCATCTTCAGTTTGAACTTGGTAGAGAAACTTCGGCGCCTGGGGCTGGACACGGTGGTGGCCAGAGGGGAAGCTTCCTATGCGACCGCCCGCCTGCAGGAGCTTCACCAGAGGAAGACGTCTGCGTCCTGACACACAGTTGGCTTTCTCCATGGGCGAGAAGGAAACGGGGTCCTGATGACCTGCTTTCTGAACAGTTGGACAAGGCATCTGTGTGGCTGCAACTTTGGACTAATTTTTCAGGGGACCCACAGGGCTAGTGGGGACTCTACCTCCAACCATTTTCTCTCTCCTGCCTCCTGTGGATCAGGACGTGGGGTGTCTTTGTTTTGATGTTGGCATGTTTACCTTGCAGGTAAACTGTCAAGGCTACCTTCAGCCTCCCTCCTGGGAAAGCTGGGAGTTCTGGTTCCATGGCCCAAGGGACCCACTGGAGCCTGAGCGGTTGGTGCACTTTTGCAAAACTGCAGTCCCCAGACTTCCTCGGAGAGGGGCCAGAGCAAGGAGCCAAGTCAACGAATCTGCTTTTTGGCCAGTGTCGTTCTGGATTTCTTCTTCTGCCTTCTGCAGTCCTTTATTCTGACACAAGTGCAGCGGACACAGCCATACGGGGGAGCAGACATGGGCTGCAAAGGAGGGCGACACGACAACCTCAGTTCTCGCAGCCGAGGGGCAGAGCTTGGTGTGGGGGAGGCTGAATGTTGGAATTGCCTGCAGAGGTGCAGGTTGGCGGGATGGCCAAGAGGCATGATCTGTTTTCGCAAAAGCTCCTCTGTGGGGGAGACCATGCCTTCCGTCCCCTCCTGCTCATTGTCTTCCCTGTTTATTCCCATAAGAAATGTACCTGACTTCAATAAAACTTCTGGAGGGAGGGGGGAGTGTGTAATCTCTTGCACTTGAAAGACAATTTGTGGGACAAGCAGGGATGTGGGTAGGATGCTGGCTTTTTTGTGTAGGTGATTGGTGAGGGGTGTTCTTTTTGTCCACTGCTCTTTCACCATCAACTTTCTTAGCTGTGGGCAAATACCGCTGGGGTGTTTTGTCTCTGTACCTTGCTGAGGCCTCACGCTTAAGGACACAACCCCCATTTATTGAGAAAGGGGATAAAGAAAGGCTGACCAGGCTCCAGTCGAGTCCATATTACACTTTCAGACCAACTTCATGTCACTTTCCTTCTCTGCTGCTTAGTCACCAAGATCTTGCTTGCCCCTGACATCCTGAGCTTTTCCTTTTGGAGCAGGCAAAACTCTCCTCTTGTAGTCATTGAGTTGTTGTTGAGTATTTCCTGCACTTTATACCGCCCTCCCAAAAAAAAAAAACCATCCACAGTGGAAGTTTTAATATTGGGTAGCCCTCCCTCACATCGTCTGAATCTGTGTGCATGTTCCATTTGCGAAGAGAAGCTAGAGCACGCTGCTCTGGCACCGCCCGTCTGACTTGGACCAAATTTTCATTTGGTATCTATGGATGCACTGCTTTTCTGTCTCCTTTTGAAAAGGATGCCCATCTCGTCCCATTTATAAATGTTAAATTAATGCCTCTTCCCACCCTGCTTCCTTGGTGGGCCTGCCTGGATCGCCACTCTTTTCACGATCCGTAGTATATTTTCTGCACAAATAGCCATTTCCACACTTGCTCCTGAAGCTTCCCTCTTTCGAATCACCAACTTTGACACTTCCATACATGTTCCCTTCCTGTGTCTCCTTTGGTGAAATAAACATTGTATGACTGTTGCCCTAAGCTTTGTCTTTGGTAGTGTTTTTTTTAACCAACAGTCAAGTGCTGTCATTGCTCTTCCTCCTTTCCCTTTTCAGGACATGCTTGGGTCTAATTTTCCCAAGTGGCATAATCACAGAATCATGGTAGGAAACCATTTCAGCCTGTAGGTGTGAGTAACGGGCAGTTGACAAGGTAACACAGACTGAAACGAAACTATAGCAACAGTTCGAGTTCCCAAATGAACATAAGGAGCAACCAATGGAAAGGGAATAAAGGCAGACCAGGCCATCACAGAGATGGCAGAGGGCCAGAGTTTCTCCATCTGTTTGCATTTATGCTCCTGTATATCATATGATAACAATCGAGGGAAAAGTAGAAGTGAAGAATGTGGCTTACTCTTGCCTGGCTGGCTGTCGGAGCTGGTTGCGTGTTTCAGGGCTCCTCTCCTTCCACCACCATCACCTTTGATGGCATAACGAATAGGTTGTTTCTGCTGCCTCTTCCTTGTTCCATGCATAATTATTTGGGGCACATCATGAAGAATGTGTGCATGGTCATGTATGGAGCTAAGGCTGCAATGTTGAGTTGGCCGATGAGTTAGACCAGTGGGCTAGAAATCTTTTTGACTGCTCACCTCAGCTGATGTTAATGCAAACACTTTTAAAAGCTGCAATTGGAGGGGCCCTCATGGAGGACTTTTTCTGGGAAGAAAAGCCTCTCTCAAAGCAGTGCCTGTTGCAACATCGGCGTGCATCATTGAGAAGCAGACAGCTGCATGGCGATGAAGCTAGTTGCACATAGCTCCTGTTTGAAATCAATGGTATTGTTACTGGTGGGTCAGGATTGCCATGTGGGTTTGCTTCTGACTCCTGAAATGGTTAATTCTTCAGACTTCTGGCTTTCAGTAGAGCTGTGTGGTGTTGCCCTGAGAGGCAACCCCTCTGAAAGGCCTGGCAATAGAAAACAGTAGATGTTTGCTAGCATTCTGAGGATGTGTTTCAGTGGAAGTTGGGTTGAGCCCAGGAGGCATAGGCGATGGGCAGAGATGTCTCCCCTTTCTTCCACTAGACCAGGGGAGGAGATAAATGAGGTCTGTGTTTGTGTAGCAGAGACTCAGTGGCTTGGTTCAGTGTTAACCAACTTGGTTATAGTATTAACCCATACTCAGGGATCAAGTGTGGGTTTTAATCATATTAAGTTCCCTTGGTTTGAACACAATTGTGCTAATAAGCCACGGCTTGTTGACTACCAATGAAGAGGATCAATAGTTTGTTGTTGGGTTACGAACTGTGGGTTGTTCACCATGGCTTGTTATCTCAGCTGAGTTCAGATGACACAATAACCCACATCTCAACAACAACCTACAGTTTAATGCCAACTCATGTTACAGCACTTGATTGTGGTTCTGTTGCCTGAACCTAGTCAGTCTATGCTGGAAATGGATCTGTAAAAGAGGTAAGAGAGCTAACTTGGCTCTCCCCTAACAAATAGAAGCCATTGTAGAACAATTCAATCTCTTCCTCTGTGATGGATTTTCAATAGTAAGTAAAAGGCAGAAGAAGCCATGGGAAAACATGGCAGAATGACAAATAGGTGACAATGACATCTGGCACTCCCAGAAAATTGCATGAGTGAAGTGGGGCAATTGCCATATAAAGTGCCTCTGGTGGAAGCACTTCATACACTTTGTATCACTGAAATGCCATGGAGCTCCTAAGGAAACAATCCTGGAAAAGCACTGTAATTCCTAGGACATCTCAGCTTAGTAGTGGAGTATTAAGTGTGTAACAACGCCATCACTGACTTGTCCAGCTGATGTGAAAGGGATTTAAGTGCATTTAATTTGGGCCATTCTCAATCCAACCCAGGACATGTCTTTTCTTTTCTTTCTTTCCCACCAGAACTGTGTCTATATGCAGTTAGGATCCCATGAGGTCTTGTATACACGAACTGTTTCCATGTATAACAGGAGAGGTTTGCCCGCTGCTGGAAACCTCGTTGCAGCAGTGCTGAGAAATGCCTTCCAGCCCCAGAGCCAAATTCCGTTTCCTCTTGGGGTGCATCCCAGTGGCAAGTGGGCCTCAAGGCAAAAGGGACCAGAAAGACAAGCAATGGCAGCATGTTGTAGGTTAAAGCTTTTCCTGCCAGTAATGACTCCTTTGGAGAGGCAATGCAACCTTTTAGAATAGGAAAATGGCACCAAAGCCAGAAAACTACCAAACTGTTGATGGCTGGGGGCAAAGTTCAGTCTGGAGGAGGGGCCTGGTCCTCTAGGACCTCCAAAGAGTTGGCTTTTGTCCCTGGGATGGAGGTTCTGTAGGAGGGGAAGCTTGCTTGGAGTTGTGGGCTCTGTATCCAAAGAAGGTGCTCTGTTCTGCTTGTGAGTTCCCCATAGGACCACTGTGGGGACAGAATGCCGGGCCAGATAGCCTTTGGTCTGATCCAGTACAGCTGCTTCCGGGTGCTTATGGGTAGGGTGGAGGGAGGGAGGCCTTTTTCAACTCTCATCTATAGGATGACAGCCCTGTATGGAAACTGCAAAACTGCATTTGCCCTGATGATGGCAGCTTCAGTCCCAGAGGAGAGTTTGGCTTCATATTCTTAGCTTTCCACAGTAGAACCTTTGCCTGCAGGAAGCCTCATTATTCCCTCCCTCCCTCGTTGGGTAATGGAATAAGACTGCTGCAAGGAGCCGTGCGTCGTTCCAAGATGTGTGCACGGCACTCCACAGAATGCAGGATGGGGTGCTGCTTACAGCCTAACATTCGGTGCAAGGCAATCAGAGGAAGGGAAGTGGAGGGATCAGTAAATAGGGACATGATATAGTTGGTTTAACAGCACATGTTTAGGCTTACGTACACCATGGCTTTCTATTTCTTAGGCTCCATAACCTTAGGCTATAATTTTACCAACATAAAAATGCACTTTAAAACATCATAAAACCAACAGTAGCCTACCTTTCCTACCCCGCAAGAGAGCAAGGAACTGCCTGCTGCACAGTTTTCCAGGTGATTGTCTGACTCAGTAGGTTCATAAGGAAGGAAATATCTTGACCCTGAATCATTTAGAGGTGTGTTACATACTTACCTTGTGCAACTTTTCTAGTTCTTTTGGACTTGTGGGAGGAAGGAGGAATTATGGGAGTTGAGGCCCACAGCATCTGGAGGGTGGAGAAAGTTGGCTAACTGCATGGTGCTTTACATAACACATGAGGATAGGCCTCCATCCTGAGGAGCTTACGGCTGAAAATACGATTCAAGAGAAACAGAGAAAAGGCAGGCAGGCAGGCATACACAGGGCAATAATATACAGCCAGAGTGGAATCAAGAGGCTTGGAAGAGAAGTCCACCCTTCTGCCTCATGCAAGAAATCCAAAGCTAAAGGACCCCTTGCAGGTGGCTGTCATCCAGTCT